TGGCCAAAGTTGCTAACTTTTGTTTGATATAGTAATGTTTTCAATCATGCAAGGGCAAAAGCAGATTGATATTTTAGGTATTTGAATGCGATTGATGTTTATAACTCGAGAACTTCCATCTTCCTTTATACCCCTTGATATAGATTATCAATGTTATTATCTTTTGCTTTATTATAAGCCATTTTAAACATTAGTATTTTTTTTTTACAAAAAAAAAGATTGTAAGTACTGCAATTTAATTTAGATCTATTAAATGTTACATTTTAAAAATAATTATATGAATAAATTGAATTAAACTCTATGTTTGTCTTAGTTTTAGTTTGATTAATCGGTATTATTGCAACAATATTATTTATAATATTGGGTCCTTATTTTTTTAATTCTCTAATAAACTTTATTTATCTGGAAAAGGCAGATATCAATTATCAAATGGATCAAAAAAATTTCTCCAAAAACAAAAAGAAACAAAACTTTCACAAAGGAGTTGAATGGCTGTAATATATATCATATATGCCATTAGCCCATATTAAATCATTTTTCAAGCTAAATTTTGTATATCATAAAGTTGTCTAAAATATAATTTTTTTTTTAATTGATTAAAAATCTGGGTTTTGTCCCTTTAATTCCATGCAAGATGGGGCTGTCATAGAACAATCAAAATCAAGTTGCCATCACGTTTAAGCAAATTGATTATTCAGAGAAATTTGTTCATAATCTTGTCAATGTTGAGTTAAAGATATATAGGAAATTTTGAAGCTAAAATAAGTTGTATGCATATGACTTAACCATATGACTTATCATTTTCCAAGTGAATAAGACTCTCAAGATATGGTTTTCTAAATATATGCCTTTAATTAATAAAAAGTGCTTAATCTAACTAATTAGCAAATTAACAAGAGTTTGGTATAGGAAAACAGATGCATGAATATAATCTCTTTGAATATTGTATTCCTTTTGAAACTTTTTTTTTATCTTCTTATATTTGATTCCCTCGTGCAACTTTGCTTTGATGACCTCACTTTTGACTCTTTTTTCCTCTTATGTCTCTGTCATGGGATGGAACTTAATTTCCAATCAAAGAGTTACATGATGATTGAATTAGAGAAAGAGTAACTAAATAGGGAATTCAAATGCATAATTGAAGAAGAGATTAATTCACATTGGATGCAAATTGAAAAATACTAGGCTAGTTAGCCTAAGTGTAGACTGTCCTTTTTTTGAACATTTATTAACGTTAATATTTTTTTTTGATTCGATAATAAGAGTAAATTGTAATAGACATCCATTTTTTTATAATATTTCATTTTTATTTGTAATTTTTAAATTTTAATTTTTGGATTTATTTTCTTTTAAAATTATTCTAAATTAATTAATTCATTACATTAATCATCATTAAAATCCGATACTAGCTAGCTTAACCTTACATTGATATTTACATAGATGCTTACATGACAAAAATAAGTTAAAACTAATACTTGAATGATCACTTGATAAAAAAAGTGGATTCATTTGATTTTTTAGGCTAAGATTTATATCACATGCCATTGAACCAATATAATTTTATTATTTTTTTTTTATGATTGATAAAATAAATAAATTTAAAATATTTTTAAAAGATCATGAATTCAAAAATTGATGTATACAAGAAAAGGTTAAGAGTAAATTGATTAGACATAATTAAGATTGAGATTTGGTTTTGGATTAACTCCTTTATTAATTAGTGCAAGTCAAAGATAGAGACCACAAGCGAATGGATTCACTCGCGACTCTTCTCTATTGTATTCGTACAAACAATCATGAAAATGTTGATTATATATTCACAATTGGAATATTTATAATTCTCTAATAATTTTTAATCATCATAATTAATTTGTACAATGAGATAACATTCATTAATTGTTGTTTTCCCCTTTACCCAACAAGCTATCGCACCCTATTTTTGGCCATGGAGCTGGACCAGCTACAACTTAAATCCCCAACTTTCTTTACCTGAACAATTTTGTGATAAATGCCATTAATTATTACTTTGTAAGGATAATTATAGGCAGAAAGGATTGTGAGGAATTATGTTTTCTTGTACATAACTGCATTTTCATTTAATAATTAAGCACTTAATCAAAAGATATTACCCAATTTCTAAATTTGTTTTTCTTTCTCTTTTATAACTAATTAAGCATTGGAAAAAGAAAAAAAAAAACACTTTTTGAAATGGAAAGACATGTGAGGAAAGAATTTTACTCCATAATATTTCCCACAAAAATTAAATCTTGATTGATAAGAAAACTCATTTTCTCATCAATGAACCAATTTTTACTAGTGATGGAAAAATATTAAAAGAAACTTTTTCAAACAAAAAAAAATTGAAAACATATAATAATTTGTTTAAAGGTGTGAAAACAAAGAATTGAATCTACATGAGTTTGTGAATCTATATTTGGTTTTAAATTAAGCTTTTATAAAAGTTAGTGTTGATATACTATCAATATAAATTTTTAATTCTATAAGTGATGTTAAGAAATTGACACATATTTTTATTTTTATTTAATTTTTTTATTTTTTAAATATATATTAAGAGATATATGCCACTTTCTTAATCTTATTTATGGAGAATTAAGAAATATATGTCACTCTTTTAATCTTATTTGTGGAGTTTAAAATATCTACTATTTGTGATAGTTTTTCTTTTTATAATGTAATTAATTAATAAATATGGAAATATTTATAAAGTATAATTGAAGAAATCTTAATAAGGACAGAAACCAAATAAGAGACTTAATTAGTCAATTATACTAATTTGAAACATTGCTTGTTAAGTTTCAAAAATTAATTTTCTCTAATCATCAAATATGCTCCCTGATTTGTAGAGGATACAACACCTGATTTTCTGGAAGCAAGTTCCTTTTATATAGTTGAATCTTGACACGTTTGCCTAATGAGCCAAAGTTTGTTGTTAGTCACAACAAAGGTAGAACAATGAAAACTCAAAACTTCTTAATGATTCTAAGATTCGACGTGTATAGATAGGAAATAGTCAAATATATATATTTATATATATATATATATGAATATAAAGTTTTAATTAAGATGAAATTTTGGTGAAGGAAAATTCACACAAGTGGTAAGGGATAAGGATTGGATGCATAAATATTTGAGTTCGAATTATTTTATATTTTTTTATTGATAAATAATTTATAAATTTAAAAAATTTGTATCTGTAAAAAAAGATTAATAGATTTGTAAATTTTAATTGAATTAATGATTTATTTTAATCTTATAAATGGAATAACTACTTTACTTATAAATTTTTTTCTTAAAAAAAAAAAAAAGAATTTTTACAATTTTTTAACATTTGAACATTCGTATTTATTAATTCTCTGTTAGATTTTTAATTTTGTTTTTGTAAAATATATATATATATATATGTATAGAGACTTAATTCAAAAAAGAGTATGGGTCAAATTGAAAGAATTCCGGTCGGATATGATCAATTTTCAGCCCTCCGGACTGCAGCTCTTGGCTTAGCCGCATCTAAGTCAAGTCAAAAAAAAAAACATTGATCAGTACTGTTAGAAACAGGTTTTCTTGTCGATGCAGAGAACTTCAAAACTATATAAATGATTTATCCCAAGAAAAAGAAAAAAAAAAACTGGAGGGAAAATTGTAATAAAAAGAATTCATTTACACAAAAGCAAGTCTGCCCTCCATTGACATACAATTTAAAGGTACATATCATCAGTAATTAGTATAATTAATTATTTATAATTTAAATTTGTATAAATTTTTTAAAAATATTTTGTATATTAATGGACTTTTTATATTTTTTTTATTATGATTAAAGAATTATAAATGAATAAGGATTCACTTATATTAGTATAATTCTTATATTTTTATTTTTGATAAAAATTAAATTTATAATTAATTTTAATTAAATAATATTTTTAAATTTGATAATTTAGTCTAAAAATTCAAACAAAATTAAGAATTATACTAATGTAAGTAAATTTTGTTTATTATAAAATTATAATAAAAAATTATAAATGAAAATGCTCTCAAAACTTAAAAGGATTATGATGTTATCTTGTGCAAATTGTCTAACTATTCATAAAAAAAAATTCATAAATGGTAATTGAAAGTAAACTCTATTTTATCCTATAAATATTGTTTGAATAACTTTGATCATAATTATTTTAAATATTTTTAAAAAATATATACTTAAACTAATTTATTCAAAGTTTTAAATGATTTTTTTTTCAAAATTTAATAGAAAATAACTTTGTTGTGTCTAACAATCGTAAGTTCCATGATTATTTCAAAAGATTCAAAATTAGTGCAATTAGAGATTATTTTTGATAGAAAATTTAAAAAAAATCAGATGAGAGGATAAAACTAAAATGAGAGCTGTCCACGTCATGGCGAAAGCCATGCCATAGGACAAGAGCCACCAGTACTTGCATAACCGTACTCTCTAGTTACGTTAACCACATAAGATGGTTACTTGTTAACCCAAAGCCAAAGGCCCACCCAAAGCTGCACAATTCACACTCTCCTCGCTCCATCTCAATCCCAAATGATCCCCTATTTTTTTTTCTAGCAGATTTAATATTAAGAATAATCTTTAAAATGTAATAAAATATTTAATATAATATTAAAATTTTATAAACTTTTAATATAATATTTAAATTATAAATTAATTAATTAATATAATATTTATCTTTAATATAAATAGCTCTAAATATAATATATATCATAAGATAATTTTTTAAATATATATTAATTAAATATTTTATTATTATTCATTTTAAATATTATATTAATTAATAAATTTAAAATTTAAATATCATATTAAAAATGTATAAAATTTAAATATTTTATTATAATTAAAAAACTATTCATAACATTTATCATTTTAAGAACAACAATTTCGATCGCTCCCCCCACCCCTCCTTTTTATTCCTATTCTCTCCCTTTCCCTTCCATTACATATAATTCTCTTCCTTTTTCCCTCCTCTTTCTCTCGCTCTCCTCCTATATATACTCTAAAGTTATATCTCTTGTAAATTATACTTTTTTGCTGTCTTCTCATATTCTTTCTTTCTCTTTCCCAATCTTTCTACTTTCACCAGCCAAATTTATATATCAGAAAAAATTGCAGTATTTCAAACAAATCCTAAGCAGCAGCTGCAGCAGCAGGCACTTGTCATACAAACACACAGATTTTATCCACTTTAAGTAACGGTTTTTTACTATCCCCATTTTGCCCTCTCTTTACGACCATCTCTCCCTTTCAATGCTCTTCTTCATCTACTTCCAAAACATCCTTGAACTCCACTAGATCTTCTCCAGGTTACCCACTGCCCTTTTTTATCAGCTTTACCATAAAAACTTAAAAAATAATAATAATAATAATATTTAGGATCTCTTTCAAGAAATATGATTGGTTGGAGAGATCTTTACACCGTTTTAACAGCGGTGATTCCACTGTACGTGGCTATGATCTTAGCTTACGGCTCTGTCCGTTGGTGGAAGATTTTCTCATCTGACCAGTGCTCCGGAATCAATCGCTTTGTCGCCATATTTGCGGTTCCTCTCTTGTCTTTCCATTTCATTTCCACAAACGACCCGTACGCCATGAACTTTAGGTTCATAGCAGCCGACACCCTTCAAAAAATCATCATGTTATTTGTTCTTGGCTTGTGGACTAATTTCACTAGAAACGGAAGTCTTGAATGGATGATCACGATTTTCTCTTTATCCACTCTTCCAAACACTCTAGTCATGGGCATTCCTCTATTAATCGCTATGTACGGTAAGTACTCGGGGATGCTAATGGTTCAGGTGGTGGTTCTCCAGTGTATTATTTGGTACACTCTTCTTCTTTTCCTTTTCGAGTACCGTGGTGCCAAAATCCTTATCATGGAGCAGTTTCCCGAAACTGCAGCTTCCATAGTTTCCTTTAAAGTTGATTCCGATGTGGTTTCACTTGATGGCCGTGATTTTCTTGAAACCGACGCTGAAATTGGCGAAGACGGGAAACTTCATGTTACTGTGAGGAAATCTAATGCTTCCAGGAGGTCCTTGGGGCCTTGTTCCCTTCCTGCATTGACTCCCAGGCCATCGAACCTTACTGGAGCTGAGATATACAGCTTGAGCTCGTCTCGGAATCCGACTCCAAGAGGTTCGAATTTTAACAATTCGGACTTCTATTCCATGATGGGTATTCAAGGATTTCCTGGAAGGCAGTCTAATTTCGGTCCAGCTGATTTGTACTCTGTTCAATCCTCAAGAGGCCCTACTCCGAGACCATCAAATTTTGAAGAAAATTGTACCGTCCTGTCTCCAAGATTTGGATTTTATCCAGCGCAAACAGTTCCTACATCATACCCTGCTCCAAATCCTGAATTTTCATCCGTGACAAAGAACGCTAGTACTAAAAATAGCCAGCCACAGCAGCAACAGCAACAAATTCATCAGCAGCAACTGCAGCAGCAGCAGCAGCTGCAGAAGGAGAATAATAAAGTAAATCATGATGCAAAGGAGTTGCACATGTTTGTTTGGAGTTCCAGTGCTTCACCAGTATCAGAAGGCGGTGGACTTCACGTCTTTGGTGGGACAGATTTTGGAGCGTCCGAGCAATCTGGAAGGTCTGATCAAGGAGCTAAAGAGATCAGGATGTTGGTTGCAGATCACCCTCAAAACGGGGAAAACAAAGGTAAAATAATTTAATTAAATAATTAATTCATCTAATTAGTTCATAATTGAGTACTTAAGTAGTGGTTGAATTTCTTAAAATTTTTAATACTAGTAATATTTAATAAAATTGTTGCTTTTGGTGTGAAACTATGCCAGCCAGCGGTGACTTCAATGGAGAGGACTTTAGCTTTGCTGGAAGAGATGGGGAGGAGGAGAGGGAAAAAGAAGGGCCTAATGGACTCAATAAGTTGGGGTCCAGTTCAACAGCTGAGCTGCACCCTAAAGCCTCCGGAGCACCGGAGTCGGGTGTTGGCAAACAAATGCCACCGGCGAGTGTAATGACCCGCCTGATCTTGATTATGGTCTGGCGCAAGCTTATCCGAAACCCAAACACATATTCCAGCCTCATTGGACTTGTTTGGTCCCTTATTGCTTTTAGGTCAGTTGGTCATTTTGGCAGTAGTAATTTTAATCGATAAAGGTTCAAACTTTATTTAACAAAATACACTTTTTGTTTTCTATTTTCAGATGTCAATCAATTTACTGGTTTGGGGTTGTAATTGCAGGTGGCATGTGAGTATGCCGAAAATATTAGAGAAGTCTATCTCCATCCTGTCAGATGCTGGGCTAGGAATGGCCATGTTTAGCTTAGGTGAGCATGTATGTTTTTTGCTTTAGTAATCATTCCAAACCGAGTCTATAAGGTAACAAGTACATACCACTTAGTGCAATTCCCAAATGCTAAGTTTAACTATTTATGATGCTTTTGCCCAATTCAGGCCACCTGTGGAGGGAAAAAATCTATGTATTATAGGAACTGTGACGATTTCTAGACCACACCAAGGTCTGGTAGGGCATGTAGCTTGGTTGTGATGTATACCCCGTCTAAGCAACGGCGTGGCTGCACAGCTCACAGCCATTCAACTTTTTTAAAAAAAAAATTTTTAATTAGCTGTCGCAAGAAATTTGAGGTTGATCTTTGGACTAAAATGAGATTGACCTCCCGACATGTGGGGTAGTCTTGTTATATTGGCTAGCGGTCCAGGGTCGGTGGGCACTGGTTGAGATAGATGCCATTTTAGGCCTTCTGTTAGTGAAGGTAGTTGGATTGAAAGATTAGGCCATTAGGGGGTTTTAAATGACATTTGAAGTCCTAATCTTTGGTTTTTATACTGTGAAAGGTCTGTTTATGGCTCTGCAACCCAAGATCATCGCTTGTGGGAACTCCGTAGCTGCCTTTGCCATGGCAGTTAGGTTCTTGACCGGTCCGGCTGTCATGGCTGCTGCTTCAATTGCAGTAGGGTTGCGTGGCACGCTCCTCCGCATCGCCATTGTTCAGGTAAAAGACCCACCTTCCTCCATAACTATTTGACTTCATTGAATCTCACAATTGTTAGCTAATCTTGTCCAATTAATAGGCTGCTCTGCCACAAGGAATTGTACCATTTGTGTTCGCCAAAGAGTACAATGTCCACCCTGCAATTCTTAGCACTGCGTAAGTGAATAACCTGAAATTGGTACAATAATTAGGTTCTAGCATTTAATTTATAATTTCTGAATTTGTAAATGCTGCAGGGTTATCTTTGGGATGTTGATAGCATTACCAATAACGCTTGTGTACTACATTCTTCTAGGATTATGAGGGTCTTTTTCTTCCCCATAGTAAACCAGAAAATCAGGGGAATCTTCGTGGGTTTGATTGCCTGTTATACGATTGGGAGCATTGATCACAACAGATTACGTTCTAAAGTATAACATGAGGATTTTCCGGCAAAGAAGATTTTAGTACAAAAAGAATTTGCCAAAGAGTTCCAAATTTTTTGGAACTAGCTTAGCTAAAGATATTTGAGTTAGTGATGTCCCCCTGATATAAGGATCATGCCGCCATTAAAAGCCAAGTTCATCCAGTTTCCTAGAGTTTCGAGAAGAAAAAAAAAAAAGAAAAAGAAAAGAAGGCCAATGCAGCACAAGGGAGACATTGAAGAGGAAAACGAGGGAAAAATGAGGTTGGCACTTGATATCCAATTAATTCTCTTCATTCCCCTTTTGCTTTGTTGTAAAGTTTGATATTCAAAGTTAATGTCTATATTGCTAAGCGACAAGGGATATGACTAATGAAATGAAGTTGCAAAGGGTTTTCTTTTTTTTTTTTTTTTTTTCTAGTATTTCTTTTGTTCTTAGTGTTGGTTTTGATTGTCCGTAGAACCGGCAATTATTTGCGTTTGTCGTCTTTCTTTGGTTTTGTACTCTAATTTGTTTAGGATATTAAAAAAAGATTCAAAAGGAGTTCATTGCTCATTAGCCATTCATCTTTAATTATATTTTTGGTTTGGAAAAAGACATTTCTCTAATGAACTTTCACGCAAAGGAAAAAAAAAAATGCAAAATTTATGGAGCGAATGATCTTTTTGAAAGCACATTGCCTTTACACATGGCGGGTTTTGTTGTACCTTTTTATTTAAAGAAAGTTAGTCTGTAATTTTAAGATCAAAATAATAAGAAAAAAAAAAGAGAATTTAAAATTATTAAAAATTATATAAATTTAATAAAAATAAAAAATATATTTTTTATTTAATAAATTATAATATAATAATTTTCATATTATATATATTTATTATTATAAAATAAGTACAATATAAATATAGAAGTCTTTAAATATTTTATTTTATTAAAGGTTAAAGGCGAAGAAAAGAGGGAAAATTGAAGTCAAAAGAGAAGCTACCTAGCTAACCAGGGTTAGCTTTTGCTTTTAGCTTTGGATGTGTCCACTACCCTAACCTACAAAAAGAAGTCGTCATTCTAGTTAGAGTGTGGTGGCTTGGTCAAACATTTCAACTTCTTTTGTTTTTTTTATTCTTTATTTGGGAGAAATTCGGGGATTGGTCACTTCCCATTGGTGGCGTGGCACATGATTCTACAAAATTTACATCAAAATTTGATTCATCCTGGTCACAATTCGCAGAAACATTGCCTCGAAATTAATTGGGATCACTTAATTTCAACTAGAAATCAAATTCAAAATCAAATTATGATGAGATGACAGGAAAGATGCTTGTTAGTTAAGGTGATTGGAACTCCGACGCTCTGTTTGGGTGTCAAGGTGCGCTTTTCTTTGACGAAACGCCAACTCTGTGCAACGCTTGAGTGCTGGTTTTTAAGTTTTGATAATGGAATTTAGAGATTAATGAGTAGTTAATTTAATTGATTAGATTTTTTTTTGATAAAAAAATTTTGAATTTAAATTTTTATTGATGATCACTTATTATGATCATATCGAATACATAATTTATAATAATTTATTTTAGATTATCAAAATCCGTTTTTCTTCGACGAAACTTCAACTCTTTGCAACGTTGGAGTGCTAGTTTTTAAGTTTTGATAATGGAATTTAGAGATTAACAAATAGTTAATTTAATTGATTAGGTTTTTTTTTTTATAAAAAGATTTTGGATTAAAATTTTATCGATGATCACTTATTAGAGTCGTATCGAATACATAATCTGTAATTATTTATCTTATATTATCAGATATGATATATCTTGCTTTAACATAAGGGATTGAGTAGTTTATCTACTTCAAATTTTGTTTCTTATAAAAAAAAAATAAATAATGGAATTTAGAGGTGAAGAAAATTTTGAATTTTTTTTTCATGAATATGTTATTTAAATATTTGAATGAAGTCGAAAAGAAATAAAGAAAAAAATGTTTTAGTGACTGGAGAACATGTTGAGTTTCGCTTTTAAATGTATACACATAATATTTAATGTATAAAATAAGATAATTATTATTTTATATCATATTTTATTTGTATTTAAATAAATAATAATATTTTAATAAAAATTAATCATCTTTTTTACATAAAATGATTCAATTTCTTTAAAGTAAAAAAGATTATTTTTAATTTATAAAATTAAATTTATATATTTTATTACATTAATAATTTAAATTATGTAAATTTTGAATAAGAATAATTTTGATAATAAATAAGTTATTTTATTTTAATTCTTATACATACCAAATATAAGATAAAATAATATTATTTTATTTAATTATATTTATAATGATATTTTATCATATTTTATTATAATCTTATACACCAAATACACCCTTAAAATCTATAGCTAACATTATTCATATTCATTACCAAATTAAATCTTAATATTTTGTTTAGAGAGCAAACATTTTCAAGAAAAGATTTTGGAATTCTACTTTCAGAATTATTTTCTAATTTTGATTGCTGTCAAAAATAGAAAACTAGTTTACCAAAAAACTATAAATAGAAAATAGAAAAGTAATTTGTTTAATCATTGAATATACAGTATAATTCTGTAGAAATATTTGCTCAATCGCACCTCGCGGCCTAATTTAGTACAATTTGACTATTTGCTTAATCTCAAATTTTTAATTTCTTTTTATAAAAAGGGTCGCAATTAAAAAATAAAAAATATTAATATTAAATTTTAAATTTATTAAATACCACTTTAAAAAAAATACATAAATTATTTAAATTAAATTTCAAGTTCAACTTACAATTTCGGTCTTGCAATAATCACGCCAGCGTACATGTACTTAGCAGTGAAGATTAAACAAAAAAAAAAAATTGTAAACTATTTCCTGATTCATGATGATATCATTATCCAAGCAAGAAATGGCATCTTTCACAACATTCTCATCAATCCATCCACACACCATGTAGTGAGTGGCAAGCAACTGAGAGCCCCAAGGGTTTCAATTTGGCTGCCCTGTACTATCGGAAGGGAACATACGCACTTCATACTTTGCTTTGAAACCTTAACCCTCTCCATTCAGCATCTTAATCACTCCTCAAAGGATTCACTGCATCGGTGACCAAAAAGTCATAAAAATTAGAATTTGATTAAGCAGCACCTATAAACATTTATTAAAGTTAGTCAAATTATAATTTAAAAAGTTATTTTTCATTTAATGCACTTTTTCTTATCAAAATTCTGTGTATATCTATATATTTATATGTATATATATATAATAAAAATATTTGATGAAAATTTTAAACTCTACAATTACCTTTGTAATATATTTTATGGGATGTATTTAAAAAAAATTAATAAATAAACATGATAAACATAAAAAAAAAAAAAAAAAACATATGATTCCATTTGTGGAATTTAAAAATTTTATTGACAGTATATAAAATGATAATCTAATTTAATTTTAATTTTTCTGGTATGATTTTTACACACAAGTGGAATTAAAATATTATCATGTATTTTTTATTTATAAAATATTTTAAATATACTCCAAAATGGTATGTAACAACTTCTAATTCCATTATTGAAGTTAATTTAAAGTTAAAAGTATATCACATGCAATTATTACATTATAATTAATTAATTAATTAATTAATTAATTATAATTTAAAATTGTATAAATATATCAAAATATTATGTGAAATTATACTTATATTTATCAGTAATAGACCTTATATAATTCTTGTTGAGATTGGATAGTCGCAACTTAAATTGGGTGAACAACTATGGTAAAAGTTTAAGCGTTGATAGAAAAATGTTCAACTATTATATTTAAGTTTCAACTTACCCCTCACGTGTAAGTCAGATGAATGATTAATAGCCTTGCACCTAAATCCAAATGTAAAAGGAAAGTGCTAGCTAAAGAAAGATTAAAAAAGCATTGCATAGGCTAATGCAATAATACATTGAGTGATGAAACTATATTTTTAAGATTTTAATTCGCGAGTTCTTGCGCTATATTAAAGTAAGTGATTAATTATCTTAAAATTTTAAATTAATAAAATGGCTCAATTATATTTCAGTTCTAAAAACAACATTATGATAAAAAATTATAGTTAAAATACTCTTCGTTTAAAAATTTCAATAACAATATACGAAGTAGTATCTTTAACAAATGCCTAATTGCCCCTGATTTCTAAGCATTAATTATAAAATTTATTCAAAGATTAATACTAATGAAACAAATGCCTATCTTGCTTTTTTATTTTTTCCTTTGATTTCTCAATCAAATTTTATATTGGTATTGAATGCTTTACCGAAGCAATTTATGAGGGCAAAAAGATAAGGTTTTGAAATTAGAAGACTAAAAACTAAACTTGGTGTAAGTATTAATTTCCCCAAGACCAACATGCCCCGCAAGATAGCGAGGGGTCTTTGTGCATGGCGACACTCAATCTGAATCACCGTGGCTAGCTAGTACGGTCTCACATGGTTTTGTTCGGGGATTGCAACAGAAGGGCTTACTCTCCCACGTGTGCGCTTCAACTTCAACTTACCTCAATTTCTGCTCTAATTTTGTGCCCCAAAAGTAATCCCTACCATGACATATATTGATATGGACCACAGTTTGAGAGAAAAATTAAATTCATGAAAATCAAGATTCGTAGATTAAACGTAACATGTACATAACTTTAGGTAAAGATAAATGACAAATCCATTATAAAAATATTTGGTTCGTTCTATCTCTTATTTAAAGAAACAGGTTTGAACTGTTCTGGTAAAAAAATTGAATTTCATATCATACATTAGATGATGTATATGACAAAGTGATCTCTAATTACTACTTCACATCCTTAAACATTTGTTAGATTGAAAAGTGACTTGAAAAGATTGAGGCTACGGCAATAATTGCAAGAATGATAATTCTTAAAAATGGAAAGATGCATGATCATGAGGATGTATAGAAGTAATGATACAAATACAAACGATAACAACTAGTACATTAGGAAGTAGTCACCTCCTAATTCCAAATGGTTGTTGATTGGTCTTCATTGGGTTTAGAAATCGGCCTGTGGTCCAATGTGGTCAAGCATAGAGCTAGTGATTTAGGCTTTTAGCCCATCAAATGGATATTCAAGGATACCATTGCATCATCTTGATGCTCATTGATCGTTGATCAGTTCTAAACTTCTAGTACCTTGTTTGTGGCCAAGAGAGAATTGAAGTTCAAAATTGACAATCCATTTCGACAGATTGTTATGCTTTTTCTTTCCTTTTCCCTTCATTTATGGCAGGATCATCAAATAATAGCATATTTCTTTTCATCTCGTCATTCTTTCGATTTCCTTTCAATCCGAAAAGCAATAACAATCCTTTCTCCATCATTTTGTTTTCTTGCATGCTTTTTGTCTCTAATCAAACCGATTGTTGGTATCGCATTTCAATTTTGATGAATTAGTACCGATATTATGTAATAATATACTCGTTCAAATTTTATTTGATATTAAAAAATGAGAGATTCGAATCCAATTTTTTGAAAAGGAAACATGAAAATCAATCATTGAG